AGGAACTACTTTAGGGCCATGGGTAGAGGCCTCATCTGCCGGAGTCCTAGTTGCGAGAGCATAAACCGAGCCCTGCAGTGCTTGCAGGCTACCTGAGGAGTACCTGGCAGAGGATAGCGCGGCGGCGCTGCCGCTTTTTGAGTCACTCTGTGGGCTTATAAGGGCTTAGGATCTGAGGGCTTAGGGTCAGTTGCAAAAGGGGTGAGGGTGGGGCAAGAAAGTATCTCACTACCAAACTCTGAATGATTTAGCCGTGACTCAGGAAAGCCCTGAAGCGTCACGGTCATGTCTCTAAGAACAGGCTATTCAATCGCTGGGCTCGTGATACAAAGGCCAGCCGAGAAAGGTACATTTCGGGCAGCAGCAACTGCTAGCAACATTGGTGTATCTCTCTTTTGGGTCACAGGGCTCTTGAGGACTTAACGTGTGTTCCAAACAGCCCATCAGAAGCCATGAAGCAATTACTGCTGCTGGACTGGGAGAAGCGATACACCCTTATCCCGTTATCAGTGTTTCCTGCATAGTCGCAACAAAACAATTGAAAACAGCTGCTAGCTGCTAGATCTTTCTCCGATCCCTTCCCGATCTGTAACAAGGCCGCTGTTACGTCGTATTCTTCAGACCTACGCAAACCCCCCATCTTGCCCCTACCTATTCTCATTTCGATAAGCCCGAACCCTGGGCACGCCGAAAAGCCGTGTACAGCCCCCATCTATATCTGTTGAGGACAGGCGGCAACCGACCCTTTGGACCGATCCCGTGTGTTGGCTGTTGCTCTTTTTTGAACCAAGCCACGAAAGCATTGAACTGGCCATTTTAGGCCGTCGATGTTCGAAGTTCGAACCGACAGTTACACTGTAGCGTGTTGGATGCAATAGCACAGAGGGTGAGATCTACGAAGCCATCTTCCGCCTACAAGTTCCGCGCTCCTAACTGTTGCTGTTGTTTTTTTGACATGAAAGACCTTTGTTGCTGTTGTTCTAGATTCTAGAGAACTCGGGAAAGACAAAAACCCCTGCACCCCTAAACTGTAGATCAGATAAACCCCTAAGCCTAAGCACATTTGGAGGAATCGTCCTGAAACGCCCATAGTATACAGCCCCTCTACATAAACCCTGACCCTTTCAAGGCCGAAAAAGAAAGCAAACCCTAAGCCCTAANNCCTAAACCCTAAAACCTACCGAGGCTGAGCTCAAAGAAGGCGTGTCCCGAACGCCTGGATTTCATGGCACAGGCGTCGGAGCTTTCGGGGCTAAGAATGACGAAGAACGGGTTTAGGGTTTAGGGTT